TCCCCTCCCCCAAACTAGCACTCAGCCACCCAAAGGGCCGATTAAGCCACGATGCCACATTTCTGCCAGCTTTTCCCTTCTGGAATTCTCTGTTTTAAAGTCCCCTGAGCATTTCCCGAGCCTGGCAGCTGGCCGGGGTTTCAGGGAGAATCTGCCACCCTGCAACTCAGGTTGCTGCTGTGCACACCTGGGCTAGGTAGGCAGGTGGCTAGGTGAGATGGGGCGGGAAGGAGGACACCTCAAGGGGCCAGTGCCCTGTGGCCCCGGGACCAGCCTGTGTCCAGAGCCCACTCTGGTTTCATCGCACTGTCCCTTTGAAGTCGCGGCCAGCAGGCAGGAGAACCTGAGGCTTCAGCATGTTGATCTACTTTTTTATTTTTTAAGATTTATTTGTTATTTAAGCACACACGAGCTGGGGTGCAGGCCAGAGGTGAGGGGGGCTGTGAGGTGACTCCCCAGAGACGGTGTGGGGAGCAGAACAGGCTGACCGAAACCCCCTGCTGAGGGGGCAGCGGGAGACAGGAGGGGCCTGCTGCACCCTGGGGTCCCTCCCTGGCCAGGATCTGCCGCACTGCAGTGGCCGGGCAGCGTCACAGTGCTGAGACAGCCCCTGCGCCCCCAAGGGTGACGGAAGGCCCTGCAGGGGAGGCAGAGCCTCAGAGAGGCTGGGCTCGAGGCTCTGTTTTCTGGAGAACAGCTGGCTTGAGTGTGTGCTTGCTTGGGAGGTTTCTGATGGCACCCCTGAGCTGCTTTTCACACCCCAATTCTGGAAGGCGCTGCTGGGCTCCTGCTGATGCTTGTGTGTGTCCAGGCTCCTCGGAACCCTGGGGGTGCCTGGCCTTGGTTTCGCAGGGCCGTCGTGGGGGACAGGCCTTTTGACCGCTGTATCTTTCCAGAATGTGGACTGGGTTTTACAAGCCCTTTTGCAGTTTATCCTGAACCTTCCTTAGCTTTAGACGGTTTCTCCTCTTGAGAACCAAAGCTGCGTTTGATCTGCCGAATCCACCACCCCCGTCGTTTCCTGCAGTATTAACCCGGAGAACGTTCGGCTGTGACGAGAACACGTGTGTCCCCCTTATCTCCTGGTTTCCTTGGTCTTTCTTTTTTTCTAAATCGATCTCAATTAACTTTGATTTCTGTCTTTAGCAAACCATGTGCTGAAAGAATGCTTTGCCAGATGTGCGCTGGGTCCCCCCCCCCCGCCCCCACGCTCGGGAAGCCTGTTTCAGTTTGAACATTTTGGTCCATTTAAAAAATCTCACACGACGTCTGCCCGCTCGTCCATGTGTCTGCGAGAGCAGCTGGTTTGCCTGGGAGCTGCTCTGGCATCGCCACTCTCTGGCCCTTGGGTCCTGAAAACCGTTCTTGTTTTGTTTGTCATTTAAAACTTTGCCTGGCCTTTCTGGGTAACTGGTTCTGTCCATTTCTCTCTCTTTTAACTTTTTGATAATAACTTATTCTTTTTAATTGCATTAGCCTTAGAATTTCCTCCACCAGGTATCACCACTGCGTCCCCCCGCGAAGTCACCCCTGTCCACACCGCGCTCCAGCACGCTCCCTTCGCTCTCGCTAAGCTCCTGACTTCTCCCAAGGAGCTCTCCCTGCTCTGTGCATCAACACATGACAGGTGTGCAAGCGTGTTCACAGCACTCGTGCATGGGTGCTCTCCGGCTTCAGTGCCACAGTGCCTCCCTGACACCCCTTTTCTGTTTTCCTTCCTTGCCGTGTGCTTTCTCAGCCCTCTGTTGAAGCGATCATATGGTTTTTATTTTTCTTTTTGTTGATGTGATGAATGATGTTAATTGATTTTCAGATGTTGCACGGTCCTGCATGTTTGCTCACGACTCTCTCTCCTGGGGGCCAGAGTGGACATAATACAGAGTTGTCCCCGCCAGGTGGGTCAGCCTGCAGGACCCGGCAGAGAGGGCAGCTGTGCTTTGTGTTCTGAGTGTGCAAAGCTGTGCACCGTGGGGCCCGGGGAGGGGGGCCCTGTGTGCACTGTGCGCTCGGGGAGGGGGACCCCGTGTGCCGTGCGACCTGGGGAGGGGGACCCCGTGTGCCGTGCGGCCTGCGGAGGGGGACCCCGTGTGCCGTGCGACCTGGGG